CGTGCCTGCATTTCCAAGCATCGCAGGCCTTGCTGTCCAAAGGCCCAGGTTCCAGCCAAGGCCGTGGCTCCAGGTTCTGCTCTGGCCCAGGCTCCCAATGGTGCCCAGGCCCCTGTGAAAGCTCCACAGTAAGAACCTCTTATCTGCTGATGTAAAAGCAGAAGGACTGGTGTGACCTCTGGGGTGCCATCTGTGGGGGGCTGGTGTCCTCCTGTGCTCTTTGTACAAATAAACCTGAGGCAAAATAAAATAAAGATTCTGGATGCAAGTCTTTGGTCAGACATATGTGTGTTAATGATATTCCCCCACTGTATCACTTGCTTTTTCATTTTCCATTATCCTTTTCTTTTCCTGTGTTCTAGAGAAGGGACTCAGGCTGCCACACATGTTAAGCACATATTCTGCCATTGAGCTATATAACTAGCCACTCATGTTCTTAATGATGCCTTTTAAAGAGGAAGAGTTTGTTAATCTTGGTGATTATTCTATATTCTGTTTGGTCTTTTGGCATATGTTTGTGGTGTCCAGGTTCGGAAATCTTCACGTGAGCCAACATCACAAAGATTCTTCTCCTGGGTTTTCTAACAGCTTTGCCATTTCACTTCATGTTACATCCATGAGCCATCTGGAGCGAATTTCTATGTGTGATGAAAGATAAGTGCTCTGATTTATTCTTCTCACATAGATATTTAGTTCATCTAGCTCCGCTACTTGTTCTTAAATAAATTATTGAATCATTATTTAAGTACGATATGGTCTATATAGAAAATACAGATAGTCATACCTGACCCTCCAACAAACAAAACAGATAAATATCACTACCTATACTCTCACTTTTCATAATTTAATACATGAAGTAGTGGTTTCTGAAGCTCCATCTCAGCAAGCCCCAGTGGAATCAAGCATGTAAATCACCTTCGTCATTATTTAAATAAGCAAAACTTATGGGGGGATAATATGATTGAGCATTAAATGTTCATGTGTTTACTAATCACTATATGTTTCTAGTTTTTTGAATATTCATTCTCATGTCTTTATGTAATTCCTTTAGTAGGTCAACATGTTTCCCAAGGTTGTAGCAGCTCTTTAGGTGTTAAGGACTTTTGTATTAATTTCAGTAATTTCTAGTTTCCCATTTGCTTTGCATTAGTCTAGTAAGCAACCACTGAGTGCCCACTAAATGTCACATAATCCATTAGATACCAAAAAAAAAAAAAAAAACTGGGAAACAAAATAATATCCCAAAACTATCCTTTCATGAAGCTTATACTTCTTTCCAAGAGTGCAAAAACTTTTTTTCATAAAAAGACCAGATAATAAATAGTTTAAGGCAACAGGTACAAAAATTCCTATTCCTCTGCTCCTCTCCCCAGTACTCTGGGGGACAGAAAGTGGAAGGCATAGTGCCTGTAGTGGACAGCTGACACACACTCAGAAAGAACTGCAACCATTCTGACAAGGCGAACATGGAAGGCAAGAGTCGAGCTGAAATGATCAATTCATGCACTAAGGACCCAAAGAATCCAGCTGAAGGCCTGGACCCCAAGGAGATGTCCCACATGAGGCCAGCCAGAGGCCGAGAGCCCACAGCAGTATTCTACACAAGTCCAGCCACAGGCTTAGAGCCCATAGCAGTGTCCTCCGTGAGTCCAGCCAGGGGCTTAGCACCCAAGGCAATGACTCATGCAAGTCTGTATCACACATCTGCAACCCGGAAGGCCCAAAGGCCAGTAGTAGAAGCTGGAAAGTCTGTGTTAGCAGGGTGAAGGCCTGGGCTCCTTTGACAAGGAGAAGAGCCATTTGTATCAGGAAAATCAGCCTCAGCAAGCATCTCCAGGGAAAACAACCGCACGTAATCTTCCCCTCCCATTTTGCTTTTGCAAAGTTCAGGCAACACTTCCATCGGGTCTTCCATGCTCAGAACCACACTGACTGAATTCAGCTCAGCATTCCAAATTGGCCATTAGTTAATCTACCACATACAGGAAGGCCTCACTAAGAATGGCCATCAAAGCAAACTTGAAGGAACTGGGGAAAGGTGGGCCAAATAAATTCCTAATGGAAGAAGTTCTAGCCCAGAGGAAACACATGTGCAAAGGCCCTGAGGCAGGAGCATTCCTGATCTGAAAGATCGGAAATAAATAAACAAACAAATAAGGGCTACCTTGGTTGAGACATAGCAAGAAGAGAAAAGATGAGATTGTAGGACAGGTGAAGGAAGATAAAATAGAGCAGATCATAGAGGACAGGGCAGGGATTCTCGATTCTCTTGTGAAATAAGATCTCCAGGAGCTTTCTTATGTTTCTGAAGTCAGCTCAGACTCCTAGAAATTCTCACTTGATTCACCCAGGAGTAAGCATCTCCCCTTCCTTTTAACATTTTCCACATGATTCTAATATGGAATCAGAGTTAAGAAGCAATGGTATGGAGCCATGGAGGTTGGAGAATGTCTGGACTTCTCCAAGAAGTTCAGGAGTCACAGGGAAGTCCAATGGAGATCTGAGATGTGTATTGCACCAACCGCTCTGTCAAGAATAGACAGTAAAAGCTAAGGGTACAGGCAAGGAATCCACTTAGGAGGCTGAGCAATGTTCCAAGCAAGGTGTTATAATGTGGTGGTAATAAGGGTGATGAGAAGTAGTTTGACTCTGAATAGATTTTTTTTTTTTTATTTTGTAGGGAAGGGTCTACAGGGTATTCAGGGTCTCACTGCTAGATTGGACTTGTAGTGATCCACCTGTCTACAGCCTCCCAAGAGCTGGGATTACAGGCGTGTGTCACCACACTCAGTCTGAATTGTTGTCTCAGTGCATCCTGGAGGCAGAGCCAGCATGGCAGGCCCGGGGATCAAGCCCCCGGCCCCTGTGCCTGTTTGCAGGTGCTTTAATCTGCTGAGCTATTTGACCGGCCCTATGAATAGATTTTTTAACATAATGCTATCAGAATTGGCTCTGGATCAGTGGTGGTTTATAAGAAGAAGAATGTATTCAAGAATGATTCTAAAAACTTTTGACCTGAATAACTCTAAGGATGGATTTACCATTAATTGTATAATGGAGACCACTGGAAGAAAAACTTGGGAAAGGAGAAAATCATTAGAGACACATACTGGACAATGGAGCAGAGCTGGTGAGCGGGCTGTTGAACACACATACATATGCCTAAAGTCCAAAAGAGAGGCCTAGAGTGTAATTTGTTAATACTCAAGACAAATAGTTCTTAAAGCCATAATAGTGGATAAGACTGCCAAAGGAGAAGATATGAACAGACAAGAGAAGAAATCTGAAGGAGCCCCTCAACATTTTGTAACAATTGATATGATGGTTCCCTGAAGAATTTCCTAAGGAATTCCACCTTTGACTGTATATTAAAAAGTCTTTTTCATGCAAAGTTATACAACTATTCAACTCTAGTCCTTTTTTTTTTTAATACCAGGAATTGATCTCAGGGCCTCGCACTTTCCAGGCAGGTGCTGTACCACTGAGCTACATCCCCAGCCCTCAACTATAATTCTTTTATGGTGGGATTTTTGTGTGGGTCTTCAGTTCATTATTTCTCAGTACCACTTCCCAATCAAAAGAATTAAAGTTCCTTATTGAAATGGCTGACTCCATGGGGAGGAGAAAGTACAAAACAAGCCTGAAGTGTTTTGTGCCAGAAAGCAAGAGGCACCCAAGGAATGGTGGGAACAGGCGAAGAGGACAGGAAGCCCACTTGCCACATCTGGGACAGTGTGAGCATCATAATGAACAAAGACAGTACCAGGTAATGGAACACTGAATAAAATAAGAAGCCATGAGACTGTGCTGAGAGGAAAAAGAAAGAGGAAGAAAAGCTGTTTCTTATAATAAGACGCCAACTGGAAAATAAAAGAGAAATGATAGGGTCAGAACTCCCTCACTTTGCAACAAACCTAGTAACAATTAATTTAAGCTAAAACAAATAACAAGGGGGGGGGGCTGCCGGTTAGTTCAGGGCCTGCTTATGCAAACACAGTCAGGCGCAGGATACTGCAGTTCTGATCCTCAGCTCCACGTGCCTTACCAGACCCACCCTTAAGGCAGCCTGAGCCGGCCAAAAAAAAAGAAAGAAAGAAGAAAGAAAAAGAAAGAAAGAAAGAAAGAAAGAAAGAAAGAAAGAAAGAAAGAAAGAAAGAAGAAAGAAGAAAGAAAGAAAGAATCCTTCTATAATAAATAACAAGATACATACTTCAGAATGCTCCCTGAAGTTTTTGTATTCATCACAAAAGGAAAGAAGTAATTTCATAGCAGAGAAGTCTTCCAAATGCTGCTTAGTCAAGTTATTGAAGTTAACACCGCCAGTAGTACAAGGAAGCTCTGTCCTGTGCCTCCCCTGAAGAGCTGTGCTGAGAGTTATGCTGTGTTCCTGCAAAAGAGCATAACCTATTTCTTCTTATAAAGAAATACCACACACACACACACACACACACACACACACACACACACACAGATCCTTCAAAAGAGCTGACTCTGTATAGTTCAGAAAAGTATCAGCACTATGAAAGACAGACAAAGGAAGGCTGAGGGATAATTCCAGACTGAAGGAAGCTAAAGACCTGACAGTTAAACACAATGACTGGCCCTCGACTGGAAGGGACAAAATGGATAGAAAGAATGTTAAACTTTACAACATTTGTGTATGGACTAAGCACTATATAACAGTATCGTATCAATGTTAAAATTTTTGAATATGATCATGGTATTTATCATACACAAGAAAATGCCTTGTTCTTTGGAGAATCTCACTCAAAAGATAAATATTTTTTAAGGATAAAGGGTACACATTTCTTCCGACTTATTTTTCAAATGTTAAAGAAAAAAATATATGTGTATAAATGTATAAGCCTATATATGTATACATGCATATAAATGTGCATGTACATGTATGTGAGGATATGAAAATAAATTATAAAATATTAATGATTGGTGAATCTGTTAAAGATATGATGGAATTGATTGTACTAGTCCTATATTTTTTTTTACCCAGACCCATTGTATCAACACTCACTAGAACTCTGTTGATGAAAAATATTACCATCACTATATAGTCCTATATTTTTGATTTAGTAAATTTGAAATCTTTTCAAAGAAAAGAATCAAAAATAAAGATATGCATAATTAAAAGCTAAGATTCATTTTTATGTGTATTTGGAGAAAATAATTTAACTTAGACCTTTCTTACTGGTCATTTCCAACTCCATGGATTATCTCTGTAACCCATAATAAGTTCTCGTGTGGATTTGGTTTTTTTGTTTGTTTGTTTGTTTTAGGATGATTATTACTTTATTTTTAAAATTTTTTATTCATTTTAATGAGAAAAAAAGATAAAATAGCAATGAAATGGTTTCAAAACAGGTTAGTAGGACAGTTACAATAATTAATGCATTGCATATTGTTGTTTCCTAGGGTTATTCAGCAGACATGGTATCTTGTCTAAAAAGTATTAGTACAAACTTTTCTTCTCACTGAGCTAAGAGAAAGTAGCTGTATCTATCCTAACTATCTTGTATATACATATTTTTTCACTGCAAAATGATCCTTTATTTATATCCCCCTTTTTGTTTTGTTTTGTCAGAGATGGATGTCCCATTGCTGTCAGAGAAGCTGTATTAGGAGAAGTCTTTAAAGTACCTTTACATACTTGATGTCAGCCCAAATACTGTAGGTACTTGAATTCAGCAAAAGAACCCAATATAGTCCAATAGCCCCTAATAGTAGTAGGTTACCAGCACAACTGGCAATTGTCCAAAGTTGTTAACTTGAGCCTTTTACAGCTCAGCATATCAATATAGCTTTACTTTTTATACCTGGCGGTTACACTCTTCTGCTGGATGGTTAAAACCAAGTTAAAGCAAGACCTAAATAACTAAAAATGTAATCGTGTGTATTTGGATCCATTCCTGCCATCCTACTCTGTCTCATGAGTCTTTCTGTCTTTTTTTCTTCCCCAGTAGAAGAAAAAATATATGCAACAACCTATTTTAATTGTTGAAGCCTTTAATTATATTTATTATCTTGTAGAGCAAGTCTACCAACATTACTCTTATTTAACATTTTCTTCTCCACACATCTATTCTGCCAGAGAAACTTATAATAATTTTGTCAAGATTTTCATAAGAAGAAAAGAATCTCACTGACATAGTGATTAAAATTTTGTCATTTACAGATTAATTGGGCCAACTAGAATCTTGTATTATTCACTCCTCCTAGAAAAGAAAGCCTGTATCTCCTTTTTGTTCAATTCATGTTTTATGTTCCTCTGTAAAGTCTTTTTCTTTTCTTTACATAAATCTTGTACATTTCTTGTTAGTCCCAATGAATTTTGCTTCAGTAGTAAATGCAATATATTTCCATAGCATATTCTAACACCTTGCTCATTATCATAGAAAAGGTATTAGTTTTTACGACTATATGTCTATATTTTGTGACTATTACCTGACTAAAGTCATGTGTTAGCCATGTGACATTTTCAGTTGATTTTTTTAGATATTCAAATTACAAAACCATATCCTCTGAAAATGACAGTAATAATATTTTCTCTTTGGGAATATTTACAGCCCTTATTTTATCTTCTTGTTTAACTCCATTCCTAGAACTTCCAGTACATTAATAAGTAATAGTGCAGATTGAGGCATTATCTTGCTCCTGAACTAAATTGGAATGTCACTAATGTCCTCAACATTAATAATTCTGTTGCTTTGGTTTGAGATTGTCTTTGCAGTGGTTAAGGAATGTTCTTTAAGTCTCTTATTTACAAAAACCAAGACTGATAGAAAGGTCTTAGAATTTCTCTGATGTACTAAGTTCAGCTCCTTGCCAAGAGTTTTGTATTCTTTGTATTCTTTAATTGATTGCATGTGGCCCTGACTATTAGGCATTATTTTCTAAATTTTAAAATAGGAAAACTAACCAAGGATCCGCAGTTACAATGTGCAAAAAGATACAGGATTTGAACCCAAGTTCTTCACTTTTCATGGTCTTCTACCTTGACCTAGTAATATATTTGATCACACCGAGATTCCTAACTGAACACTTGCATTGCTGGGATCAGCCTTGCTTGTACATACTGTATCGCTATCAAAAACATAGAAACATATGGCTGCACCCAGTTGTCTAATATTTTGAGTCTATTTTTGTGAAATTGAGCTGCAGTTCCTTTTGCCCATCTGGCAGTTGGCATTAGTGATCCAGCAAAGGTAGCTTAATAAAATGCTTGGAAAGATGTCCATCTTTGCTCATGTGCTAACCCAGGGGAAAGGATCAAACACCAGGAGGCTCATCTGTTTCTTAGAAGTTAAAAAAAAAAAAACCTATTTCTGAAAGAATCTAGGTTTAGCACTTTTTTGGACAACTTTTTCAGCCTTATCTAAGATTATTAGTCTATTCAGGTTTTCTATCACTTTCTCAGTCAAATTTAATGATTTATATTTTCCAAGAAAATTATCCACTTCATTAAGATCTTGAAATTTATTAGCATAAAGTTATGAAAGCCATTTCTTTATATTTTTCATTTAACTGTGTCTCATTTCTCATTTCTATACTCTCATATTTTCCCTTTCTCTTGATTAGGCTTGCCAGTGGTTTCTGTAATTCACTGGTCTTTTTAAAGAGCTAGACCATGGGTCTATTTATCAATTTATGTTTTCCATTTTCTAATCCATTAATTTCTAGGGGATTTCATTATTCGCTTTCCCTGTCTCCTTGGGTTGTGGTGGTGGAGGTAGCTGTTTGTGTTTGGCTTTCTCTGGCATCTGGAAATATATGTCAGCCTCATTTATTTGTCTGCATTTCCATCATTATCATTACTGACGTCCATACTGCCTCTCAGATCCCAGAGTCACTTAGAGGAGTGATTTTTAACTCCCCAAGTGGTTGGAGTTTGTTTGCTTTTTGCGTATCATTTGGATTTTCATTTCTAGTTTTCCTGAGTTCTAGCCAGAGAGGTAGACCTGTACAAGTACCTGACCTGCACAGCTGTTGATAGCTTTTTTTGTGATGCTTGGAAGCACAATGTTTGCAAATGTTCTCAGTGGTGACAGAAAAGAATATGGCTGGCCCATGCATCAAGAGTCTCAGATGAGCCCCGAGTTAGCTACAAAGATGAAGGACAAGTTGTCCTGTCCACAGGCTGGAAGAGCCCAGCTCTCTCAACATGCTAGAAATGAAGAAGAAAAGAGGGAATGAGGTTAACAGATGAGGTTCACGAGTAGCAAAAGTGCAGGGTGAACGAGGATACCTCCTCGTGCTGCCCTCCTGCTTGTCTGGAGATTAGACCAGAGGGCAGCCTGGGGGCTCCCTTTTGGGATGCTTGTGACAGGCAGTGTGTAGGGGTGCTAGGACCCCTCTGGGAGCAGCATGTGACTGCTCAGGTCTCACTTTTATGGGCAAAGGGATTCGGTGAGTGTCAGGACATTATCCAAAACAGCCAGATTTGGTTGGGGAGATAGCTCAAGGTTTAAGCACCTGCTTGGCAAGTGCAAGGACCTGGATTCAACCCCTGGTACAGCGTGCCGTCAGCCCCAGAAACCTGGGTGCACGGAGCCAGCTACTGAAATTGGGTGTGGTGGCACATGCCTGTCATCCCAGAGCTGGGGAGGCTGAGACAGGAGGATCACTCTGAGTCTGAGCTGCATAGCAAGACCCTGTACCTACTATATAAAATATTTTTGTTTTAAAGCCAGATTTCCTGGTGGCCCTCTGACTGCTCAGAACAGACTGCCCCATGCTGATCCTTCTCTCCAGAGGTGTGCAGTAAGAATTAAGTTAGGGAGGGGCGGGGAGGGGGGAGTTTCCTCGGGCCTCAGAATGAAAGAGCCTAATTGTGCAGGCTTAGTGATTTTGTCTTGCTTAGGAAAGGACAAAGTGCAACAGCACAGTACTAGATAACAAGAAGTGTATGAGTGTGTGTGTGTGTGTGTGTGTGTGTGTGTGGCCAGGGCAGGATGCTCCTTCATTAACTCCCAGGACGGCACATCTTAATCTCTTCCAAACTGTGACCCCATACTGCCACGGGCACCCTGCGGCCCCTGCTTTCTGAGTTCCCTCTCATTCCCCAACTCTCAGCCCAGACCTCGTCTATCTCTTAAGACAGAAAAACAGAAAAACCCCTATGCCTCCAGTGTGCAGAGGAACTGAGCTATCATTTGTAATACTTCCACTTTCCAGACAGTTAGATTTTCTCGGGCTGCCATACCCTGAACGGGACTCTATTTCAGGGTGGCGGCAGGACTGACACAGTCCGTGTGTGCCGAGAAGGCCTCGTTCCTCTTCCCACCATCTCAGCCCCGCTGCCGCACTGCAATACCTTGACTGGCCCAGGCATAGCGGTGCTAGTCTGTAATCCCAGCACTCAGGAGGCTGAGGCAAGAGGACTGCAGCAAATGTAAGGCCAACCTGAGCTACTTAGTCAGTTCAAGGCCAGCCTGAACTACATAAAGTGAGACCCTGCTTCAAAAAGTAGTAACAACATCAACAGAATATCTCAACTGGGTGATTTATAAATAAGAAAAATTCATTGCTCAGTCCTGGAGGCAGAGAAGTGCAAGGTGAAGGTGCTAGCGGATTTGGAGTCTGTAATGATCCTCTTTGCTTCATGAACAACTCTGTCTTCGCTTTGTCCTCACGTGATAGATGGGAGGTAGAAAAGCCTAGTAGACTCTTCCTAGCCCGTGTACAAGGCACTGATCCCACACATGAGGCCAGAGCCCTCGTCACCTTATTGTCTCCTAAAGCCACACTTCCTAGTGCTTCTGCCTGGAGGACTCTCACCATGAATTCTGGAGGGAACCAAGCACCTAAACCATAACCTCGCATCACATGACCGTTGTGGTGGCTCCTCTTGGACACTTCAGAGGCCACACAAGCAACACCTAGTGTCCCTCCCAGAAAGGGAGAGCTGCACTTTGTTCCCTGGCCCTCTTCCTTCCTCTCACTGGGGATCACCGCGGGTTCCCTGATCCTTTCAGAAGGTCCTCGGGGCAGGATTATGAACAGCTATAGGTGACAGCGTGCATCCTCGATCCACCTGGATCATTCTGGTCCGAGAG